GCTGTTCTTGCAGAGGACCTGGGTTCTGTTCCCAGCATCTACATGGCAGCTAACAACCGTCAGTAATTCCAGTTCCAAAGGAGCCAATGCTCTCTTCTGACTGTGGACATTGCACCTCATAGGTATACTTACATACATTCAGGCAAAACACTCATACTCATAAAATAGAAATAAATTATTTAAAAATATTTTAAAATAAATATAAAGGAGTTTGTATGGGGGATTCTCTGGGTTAACTTTACAGCTTTTCCGTAACTCTAAAATTGTTCCAAAGTGATAGGTTTAGTAAAAATAATTACGATGGGTTCTGCCTTCTAATTGGACCTTAACTGACACAAAAAGTCAGTCTAATTGTCCAAGAAACTATAGTATAAATCTAAACTACAACATCAAATTTCAAGCATAGCAATAACTGGAGTGAAGGGCAGAGAAATGGAATCCCTGAAAATTAGGGTGTTTATAATTCTACCACATAGCATAATACTAGAGCATTCTGTTTCAAGAATTACCTGGCCCAGACTAAACAAACAAACTTCTGAAATGAAACCCAGGTAGGAGATTTGGCCTCCCATGTAGTTCAGATTGGAACAGCATTTTATCGTGTGTTTTCAAAAAGATTTATTTTTAATTGTATGTGCTTATGTTTGTCTGTGTGTGGATATGTGCATAATGTGTGGTTGTCTACCTGTTGGGGCCAGAAGAAGGTGTCAGATCCTCTGAACTGGGGATTACAGGAAGTCGTAAAGTGCTGGAATATGTGGGTGCTGAGAACTGAACTGGAGTCCTCTGCAGGAGCAGTATGCGCTCTTAATCGCTGAGCCATCTCTCCAGCCCCCTTATGCTGTGCTTTTAAAAGGTGTCAGGAACATTCTTCTCAGAACATCTTTAAAGACTTCAGACCTCTGCTCATGTTTATTTATACTTCTATTCACTACAAAACCCAAACGTGAATTGTAGAGAATAAACCAAAAGTTAACCAGTTACCATATTCCAGTATTAACAGCATGGATGTTTTCAAAGTTTTTGAGTCTTTATTAAACTCCGTGAATCCTAATGTAGAGCAACAGTTTACTTTCTGTAATGTACAAATCAGCTCCAGGGAGCCTGAGTCCTTGTAGGCTTTTGTGATCTGCACAAATGCTCTTCAGTCCCGGAGCTCAGCCTGAGCAGGCTGTGGTTTTCAGGTGGCAAGCCTGAACACAACTGAAACCCTTCCATAGCCTTCTCCCCAGGAGTGAGTGACAAACCTCAGGTTTTCAGACGAAGAACACAGCCACTTTTCCCTTTCTCACTACTTTACAATAATGTTATTTTTCTTCAAAATATCCAGGCACAACTGGTTTTTAAGCTGAAAAAGTTAATGAAAGCAATATCGTATTTGAGGTCAGTCGGCCAGAAAAATGGACACATGCCAAATTCCACATCCCAAACATTCTGTCTCAATGGAATGTGAACAGAGTGCCCATTTTCCCTGCTCTCCAGCAGAATCCAGACAACACCCTACAACACAGTTGCCTACTAGCATTGCGATGCCTGGCAGGAGCAGACACACACACATGTGCACACACACTCACACATATACTCACACAAGTACATACACACATATATAAATCCTCACACACTCTTTCTCTCTCTCTCTCACACACACACACATATACACACATATACTCACACAAGCACACACATACATATAACCACATACATTCACACACACTCACATATACATATACACACATACACCCTCATACACTTACACCCACATACATACACACATATACATCCTCACACACTCACATGCTCACACACTCACATGAGCATGCACACACAGACACACACACAGACACAGACACACACACACACACACACACTCCCTGTCAATACTACAATAAAGGCTCTTCCATACCGATGTTCTATGCACAGACAGCACAAAGGTTTCTCCTAGAGGTGTGGCCTCAGGGACAGCCAAGAGATCACAAGACCAGAAAACTATTCCCCTCAAATAAAAAAATAAAAAATAAAAGAAGAAGAATCTCCTAGTTCCAAACTAAACAAATATTTTTTTTAAAAAAAGGTTATCTGTAAATAATGCCTAGTTAGTCTAAAAAAAAAAACAGAGGGAACCATATTAATCCAATAACCTACTGACAAATTATATATACAACTAGCTCAAGGAACATAATATATGTCTAGTCAAGGCTTATCTGAGAACCTTTGGTCTTTGCCCAAGCTTTAATCTACATAGCACATGGTAATTAAAATTCCCACACTGGTGGAACTAACCTTCTTGGATGTATAACAGCCATACTTTGAGGCCTATACTAATTTAGTCAGAGGGACATAAAGGACGGTTTTTGCTCCTAGGTTGACTAAGTTCCAGGGGACTATGGAGCATCTCTCAAAATGTCCTGTAACTATGGTGAGACACCTGTCCTCTTGATCAAGGAGGCCATGGAGACCCCACCAGATGGACTTGAACCAGTGTCCAGTCTACAAAGAGGATGGTCAACACAGAGGAAACATTTCCTCCATGCTTCCATGTGAAGCCAGCCACAATCAAGCAGAACCTTTGGCTTAACTTCACATAGATGGAACTGGTAAAAGAAAGGAGCCAGGGGCTCCTCCCAAGCCCATGTGACCCCTGAGGAACAGATCCTCAAACGACCTTAAGAGTAAAAATAAATTAGTTTATCTGGGCCAACTGTATGGTCTTAAACACCCAAAAGGAAAGTATAACCTTTTAAAGATTAAAGGGATCAATATAATTCTTTAAGAGTCCATATGTATAGTTAAAGGCTACATAACAAGAAACAATGCCAGACAGGGGATACCTTCCTTTGAGTTGTTGGCCAGGGTGGCCCAAGACTCCCAGACAGTAACCTAGCATAGAATTGGGAAAATGAACAGCAGACCCCAATCATATCTAAAGGAATATTGGCAACTGATTGCTCCTAGATTAGGAAAAGCTGATCTTCCTGAAATAAGGAACTCTAGACAGGCTGATTAGATTCAGTGGATGGACAAGCACTGGGGAACAGTTGGGGGCACTGACAACACCGTGTACAGTAACAAGGATGACAGTATATGGGCTCCAGTGGGGGGAGGGAGTGGCTATGGGAGGATGCCATTTGGGATGTGGGTATATAGATGAATAAGATTGTTTGGGATGTTCTATATGAAATACACACAAAAATCTATTTTAAATGAGTTATATTTGAGGAAGAAGCATAAAAATTTGCTTCATGTTAATTAGTAGATGTGAAAAACATTATTGTTGAAATCTACCTGATGACTTTATATCTATGCTCAGGTGCCAAGGATCTCAGAAAGTAACCAACTGTGACTAATAATAATCAGATACATAGAGATTAGAGATGCTTGTGCAAACATGCAAGTGTTAGTTACATTAAAAATGAGTTTTTCTGTATGAAACAGTGTATTTTAAAATGAAATGGAGATCTTTTTATAAAGGTTAAAACCTCATTCAATTTTATGTCTTATAGGGTTTATACTGAGTACAATATTGTATAACTGTATTAATTCAACTGTGAATATAAAAATTTACAGCCAATTTTGAAAGAGATGCATCTTTGCTCTTGAAATAGTTATTGAATATGTCAATGCTGTTGTAATGAAATGCTTCTTCTAATTATGTAGTTATTAAATAAACAATTTTTTAAAAAGGAAATCTTCCATGGGTTGGCGAGATGGCTCAGATGTTAAGAGCACTGGCTTCTGTTGCAGAGGACCCAGGTTCGATTCCTAGCACCCACATGGCAGCTAGCAACCATCTGTAATTCCAGTTCCAGGGGACTCGACACCCTCTTCTGTTGTCCACAAGCACCGTGTACACATAGTGTACTTACATACATGCAGGCAAAACACTCATACATACAAAATAAAAATAAATAAAATTTTTAATAAAGAAAGAAAAAGTTTATGGGGCAACTTAAAATTCCTTCAGAAAAGTCTCAGCAATGATTTGATAGCAATGAGGATTCTTCGGGCTATCACAGGAAGCTGCTAGTTTTAGAAAATGGTTATCGCTCTTGTATGAACTTAACGCTTTGCTCATTAGAGTATAGTATTGCACTTCTGTTTCCTCTCACATTTTTAAGGACATAAAGGAAAAAGGCACCGGAAGTGAATGCAAATATGAAATTTGAACTGCGAAGTTGATGAAAGCAACTGTGTTCCCGGGCATTCCGGCATTTAAACTTTGTGATGGTGAAGATGGGGTCTGAGGTGTAGCCTGCTTACAGTCCAAAATGTCACCATTTTAGCATTATAATTCTGGCGTAATGAAGACAAATTATATACTATGTTGTGATTCCATTGAACAAACACCAAAATGTCCATGAATTTTTCATTGGGAACGTCTCTCCCCAAAGTTATCTGAAGAAATACTCATGATTCCCTTCAGAATTCAGAGGCAATGACTATGTTAACGTCACACAGTGTTGTTTCTGAATTAAAATCAGCAGGAGTCAAAGAGAGCATGAAGCTAAGGGGAGGGCCAGGAAGGTGGAGTGGGTATGGGAGGAGTTAGGGGAAAATGGAAGTGAATACAGTCAAAATACATTGTATGAAATTCCCAAAAAATTAATAAAGTGTTCCTAAAACCTAATGTGTCATTTTTTAACCATCAAAAAAGTATCTTAGATAAATCAAGTTAAACAGAAATTAGACTACAATAGCTATTTTAGCACAATCGCCTTCCTTTGGTAAGAAATTTGAATTCTGGTTCCTAGGCTGATCCTCAACAGAGTATGGGTATCAGGTTACCTAATACTCCTTCTCAAGTGCTTTTTTTATGCTCAGTTAACAAAGGTGTTCTATGTAATACATGTACAGATTTAAGAGAAACGGCATGAATGAGTTGAAGTTGGAATCCACACTCCCCTCTACTTGGGATAAAGAGGGAAATCATGGCTCAGACTAATCCAGACAAGGGGCCCTACAGCAACAACACCAAAGACAGACAACAGCAGGTGGAAACTTACCACTGGAGCAGTTGGTGCCACCCCAGCCAGGCTCACACTGACAGGTGTTTGGAGCAATGCAGCGACCATGGACACATTTATCAGCACAGTGAGCTGTCAGAGAGAAAAATCAATCAAACAAGGAAAGTTGGCACAAGAAAAAAAAAAAAAAAAAGCCAGTAACACAGCTGCTGCACATCCGAGGCTCGGGTATCACTTAAAAACAACATGCATGCTTCATAATTTTCCTCAGTCCGTTCCTCGGCCCTCTTGGAGCCTGCTGTATAACAAACAATTCCTCCTTATTTCAGTACCTCCAAATCCATTCCTCCATTTCTGCTGTTTAATTCTACTTCATGCTAAATTAGAGAAGCAATTTCAAGGAAAATTGTCTAATCCACTCTTTAAAAACATATCAGTGTCCCAAATATATTCCCTTCATGTTGGGAAAAGTGTATGTGGAGAAACAAACCACAAAGCAAGATATCAGGACTCCACATTGACAGGGCAGACCATGCGGCTGTTCTCCATATACAATAAATTCACCAGATGAAGAGGCCATTCTCTGTACGTGATATAGTCACCAGAAATGATGGTCACGTTTCTTGGTGAACACATTCATGACTTTGACACAGCAGAGTGGCACACCCTCTTCCTCTTGAAGAGAATTTGCAAACTGTCACCTAGGTCTTTGGGAAGTCCTGAAGCTGAAGGCCTTTTCATTAGTGACTTAGGTGTGCCTCCCTCCCCCAGAAGTAAGAATGCATCACTGCAAATGTGAGTGGATAGACTGTTCTGACTCATTTCCAAAGGCTGACCAAAAGAAAGCCAAAAATACACTGTGCTGGACCTCCGTGGCTTGCATGTAGGTTACATGCTCTTTAAAAATACCTACACATATATGTAAGGGATTGTAGGAGCTGCTTGAAAGAGCTTAGAGTTCCAAAATTTGACTTAGGGATAGGATAAAATACCCTGAGCTTTAGACATATTTTATTTTATTATTTTATTATTTTATTTTATTTTATATTTTGCCTGCATGTAGGTTAAGTGCACCCATGTCGTGCAATGCCCATGGAGGTCAGAAGAGGCTGTTCAATCCCCTGGAACTGCAGTTACAGACAGTTGTTAAGTGCCGTGTGGGTGCTGGGATTGGAACCTGGGTCTTCGGCAAGAACAGCCAGTGTTATTTTATTTTATTATTAATGTATGCTTATTATAAAAGTAAAACAGGTTTACTGCCCAACCACATAAAATGTCGGTAAGTAAAACGAATCTAATCTCTAGCTACCTGCACACACTAGTAACATTCTTGTGGATGCTTTAATATTTTTTCTGATGTGTGATTTTTCTCATAAAATTGTTTTTTCACTCAATATAATGGTACCAATATTTCCATGTCATTACATATTCTTTTGTCTACTTTATTCTTAATTATAAGTGTAGTATACATATAGTACATAATATAGTACATATTTAAACATAATATGAATATACAGCAGATTCACACTCATGGTTACTTATAAAATCTTCACCTTAAGCATGAAGAAACACAAGAGAAAGGCTCTTGAGATGAAGAGAAACCAAAACCCAGAGGTAGAAGCAAAGCTCAGTGGAAATGAGCAGCACTGTTCGGTGCAGTCCTGGGGACAACAGGGAAGACAGAGGCCTTGAAAGCCAAACTGAAGTATCAGTACTTTACTAAGAGAATTAGCTATGACCCACTGAAAGGTAAGAATCTGCTAGACAGAAGACTATAGAATGAAATGAGGGCAAATTCTAGGACTTGCTATCACCAGAATAATTTTTAGCACAGTAGGCCGAGCCCTCTCACATCACTCAACAATCAAGAAAATGCCTCACAGACATGCCTATAGAGCAATCCAATAGAGGGAATTCCCCAGCTGAGGTTCCCTCTTCCTAGGTATATGTCAACTTGACAGCTGGAGCTATCCAGCACAGGCTGAGCATTCAGGCCTGGCATCTTTGCTCCTATATCATTATACCACATATTAAAATGGGTAAATAAATGCCCATGCTAAGATATGCTCCATAGGGTTAAGATCAGAATTACATATTCATGGATCTCAATTCATTGTGTTTGCTGCCCTTATTTTGTTAATTCTGAAAAAAAGATGATAAATTTCTATGTGAAAAATTAAAGATCTGTTTTTGGAAGCTTTCAGATTGTTGAATAACTATATAATCACTCTCATGTTTGATTCTCAATAGTACAAAGTTTATGGTTTTATATAAAGAATTTCAGGAAGTCCAGTCAATTATTACAAATGAAAAGAAGAAAAATCCTGTAAGGCAATGGTTAAATCTGGATTTTTTTTCAAGCTTCTTGAGCTAACATTCCACCAAAGTCTAAAACAAAATGTGAATGGGTTATTTTATAAAGCGACAATTCATCTGAAAGTTGATTAGGAAGGAGAAGGGAAATCTGGTTTCCTAGTGGTTTCTTTTTTCTTAATTAAAACTCGAGCTAATGCAATCACATTTGCACACTGACTCCTGAAATAGTGATCTGAGTGATGGGGAACAGTGATGTTGACTCCAAAGGAAAAGAACACGAAACTCTACTTCTGTGTGGAGAAGCTTTACACAGCACTTGACTGTCATTCAAGCGCCACGTCTCTCTGCTCTACACTTTTTTCCCAGCACCTCTGGACTCTCCATGCCCAGCAGTATCCCTTAAGGAGTACCCACAAGATGGTCAGGAGCAACAGGGAAGTAACAGGGCAGCCACAGAACTTGGTGGACTAAGGCATCCCTGCTCACCAGGGTTCAGAAGCATGAAGCACAGCATATGTAGAGTCTGTCTTTGAGAAGTCAGCTGAGTTAGATCCCGCCCCAGCTCACCTCTTCCCCCAGTCAACTTCAGAAGCCACCTACTCTAGGTGCCAAGCTTGAAAGACTAACAAACCCCACATGAGAAACCATGAAGGTTAAAGGTATAAATCAGTCGTGAATATCAAGCCAGTCTCCTAAGGGACTAGGAGAAAAGAAAGGGGGCAGAGTTCACCTTAGCAAGTGTTCAACAGCTTAGATCTCAAGCACATGTTCAAAAGAATCATTATAAAGGCCCAGCCATAGAACAAGGAGCCATTTTATTTTTTATCCACGTCTTTTCTTATTTCTGAAGAAGCAATTACAACTGAGATAACCCAGGGTGGTGGGATAGCTCAGTCAGTAAAGTGCTTGCCACATAAACATGAGGACCAGAGTTCAATCCCCAGAACCCATACTCAAAAAGAGGCAGTGACTATAAACCCAGCAATGAGGAGGCTGAGACAGGCAGATGCTGGGGCTTGCTGGCCAACCAGACTAGCTCAACCAGCAAGCTCCCAGGCCAATAGGCCAAGCTGGCTCATAAAAACAAGGTGGATGGTGGCTCCTGAGGAATGACACTGAGGCTATCTGACTTTGCATATGTGTACATGTACATAGTCACCCACATACACACATACACACATGACCATGTATGATACACACAAACACAAATGCATGTATACACAAACAGATACACACACACACACTCACACACACACACACACACACACACATGCACACACATCAAAGATAAGCCTAAAAAAAGTTCCTATCAAAGATGATTTATTTTGGGGGCTGGAGAGATGGCTCAGCATTAAAGCACCAGTTGCTCTTGCAGAGGACCCAGGTTTGGTTCCCAACACCCACATGGGGGCTAACAACTTCCTCTAACTGCAGTTCCAGGGGATCCAATGTCCTCTTCTGACCTCTGTGGGCATTGTACAAGACGGCTTGCACTTACATGCATGCAGGCAATACACTTAAATACATAAAGTAAAATTAAAATAATACAAACAAAATCTTTTGAAATGATTTATTTTTTCACCTTTTAAAAGGAAATCATAAATATTTATTCTGAAGTCTTAGTAACCTTTCTTTGGGGCCAGATACAGACTGAACCTTTAACCACAATCTGTATTCAGCTGTGGATATACTAAGCTGCAAGGCACAGCCAAGACATCTTCTCCCACAAGAATGGCTGGGCAAGAGACTCCACTGAGAAGAACAGGCTGTGGCGTCTTTGAAATGAATGCTGTGGACAGCCTGTCTGCGGTGGACAGGTGAAGACTGACATGATGACCCCGGGATCTTCCCTAATTAGGCTCCTGTTTCAGTCTCAGTTCCTAACTCCATTTAAATCCCATCACTAATGCCATGGGCCTCAGTCCTTTCATTTGTAAAGCTGAGTGCCATTAGTGCTAATCAAGTGTTTTCTCTTCTGCCACGTTTATTTCCCTTTGGATTTGCACCTAGGAATGGAGCAAAGACCGAAGATGCCTGGATAACCCAAGTATGTCTCCAAAGGCAATGCAGCCACTGTAAGGACAGCAGCGATATGATCGATTCCTTTAAATTACTTTGGAAACTGGTTCTAAGGTCAAAGGACCTCTTGAAAATAACTGCCCAGGGGATGGAGAGATGGCTCAGTGGTTAAGAGCTGTTCTTGCAGAAGACCCTGGTTCAAATCCCAGCATCCACATGGTAGCAAACAACCATCTGTAATTCCAGTTCCAGGAAATCTCATGTCCTTTTCTGTCCTCTATGGGCATTGCATGACACAGGTGCACTTACACACACATGCAGGTGTAACGCTCATACACATCAAATAAAACCAAACAAATAAAAAAAAATTTTTAAAGAAAGGAACTGCCCAATAGAAACAAGCCTTCCAGTTAATCCACCTTTCCTCAGAAGTTCCTTTTATTCTTATGTTATTCATAAGTAGCATATGTCACAAGTCTTGTTCCAATTATGTTTACTGTAAGTTGCTACAGAGGAACATAATGTCATTAGTGTTCACAGTGCCTTTACTGAATATAACTCTCAAAATTTTCATATTATGTAAGTAGAACAATTCCTCCAATATTCAGAGTTGTTAATAAAGGCAGAAAGGGGTCTCTGACTCCTAGTAGACTGAATTTATGATGCGTTTTAATTGGAATGAGGAGGGCTTTGGAGTAAAAAAGAGTATACTAGATCAGCTACTAAGGTAGGTGTACCACAATGCTGAGTTCAGGAGTCATAAGATTCAAAGAAGGAAAACTGAGAAAGCAAATGGG